CTAACTGGGGAGAGTGGTGATGGATACATGTGAAAATGTTCAGATTGTACATTTACCACATTTGCCAAAGATCTGCTTTCCTCAACTAAAGCAAAATGAAAACAAGAACTGAGAGGTTTGCAAAGCTGATGTTATTGAATTCTAGCAACAGAATTCCAAAGTAGCTAACAGGCCAGAGTTTTACAGGAATCCCAGTCTGGTTAAATACCTTACAGATGGTAAATACTTTACAAATATACCCCCTAAAGTTGTAGTGTTATTAGTATACGTTGCAGGAGTGAGTAATGGGAAAGGATACTCTCACAATAGGAAGACACAAAATGTATGGAATAGAAGTGCAATAAGTGTTTTGTTTTTTCTTTTCAATTTGTAACCAAATGCCGGTCAAATATTCATAACTGAGGTTATGAATAAGGAACAGAAGCAAAGGGAAATGAACTGGTTGTGGCTGGGCATAAACTTCTGAATACTACCCACATTTTGCCCCATTGTTCTGGGCCATCTCTATTCTCAGGTTATTGACTTTCCAGCATAGCCTGTCTATGGCCCCGTCTAGAGTAGCAGGAACTGCCAGAGTTCTAGGGAGAGTGCATATCTCATAGGACTGGTTATGAGATACAGGATTTTCCACCTTTACTGTAAATCCTCTATTTCCAACTCGCTTGGGTCAGGAATTAACCCCAATTTGCAACTGTGTGAGACCTGGCCAGTGACCTGTGTGATGTGAGTTGATTCGCTCATTCCAGTTCCCACTGCATATGTGTCTGTATCACTACTGAGGAAAAGTAGGGCTTAAGGTATCAAGCAATGAATATCAGAGAAGGAAGACAAGGAGATGGCTGATTTTCTGAAAGGAAATCTGGCTCCAGTATAATAGATGTTCTTAGTTTGAGCCTTTCCAAAATCTCCATGGATTAGAAACTTCATTGGTTGTGTTTCAGAAATTGCTTCCTCATCCCAAATTAAATAACGAATTCCTGGTAAACTCCAGGCCATTATAACTCCAGGCCCAAATCATCACTGGCCATTTACATGTCTCCATTACTTTGACTAGTGTAGTTTACTTATTATTTAAAAAAAAAAACTAATGAGAATTATAATTGTAAACAACAGATTTCAGAGTAGTAGCCGTGTTAGTCTGTATCCGCAAAAAGAAAAGGAGGACTTGTAGCACCTTAGAGACTAACACATTTATTTAGCTCACAAAAGCTTATGCTCAAATAAATTTGTTAGTCTCTAAGGTGCCACAAGTCCTCCTTTTCTTTTAACTGTAAACAACAGTCATAGTGTGAGCATAAACCCAATAATACAAGTGGAAAATGACCAGGAATATTTTATGTGCACCACTGTCAAGCCCCCAAATATGCCCACTCACTCGCCCCACCCCAAAAATCCTCATTTTATTATTCAGTTATGTGCAGGCTTCTGTTTTTGCCACGTTTCATTGCGAAGTTACTTACTAGTACCATTGTGTGGGATAAACTGAAACTGACATTATTTGGAAAGGTTTCAGAGTAACAACTGTGTTAGTCTGTATTCGCAAAAAGAAAAGGAGGACTTGTGGCACCTTAGAGACTAACCAATTTATTTGAGCATAAGCTTTCGTGAGCTACAGCTCACTTCATCGGATGCATACTGTGGAAACTGCAGAAGACATTATATACACAGAGACCATGAAACAATACCTCCTTCCACCCCACTCTCCTGCTGGTAATAGCTTATCTAAAGTGATCACTCTCCTTACAATGTGTATGATAATCAAGTTGGGCCATTTCCAGCACAAATCCAGGTTTTCTCACCCTCTGCCCCCCCCAAACTCACTCTCCTGCTGGTAATAGCCCATCCAAAATGACCACTCTCTTTACAATGTGTATGATAATCAAGGTGGGCCATTTCCAGCACAAATCCAGGTTTTCTCACCCCGCCCCCCTTTTTCAAAAAACCACACGCACAAACTCACTCTCCTGCTGGTAATAGCTTATCCAAAGTGACCACTCTCCTTACAATGTGTATGAAAATCAAGGTGGAGGACAAATCAGATAATAGTAACCTTCAGGGTTCTCAAGTTACAGATACTTTTGACAACTTGTAGCAATAAAGACTTATAGTTAAGTCAAGAGCTATATATCTTATATTGGGCCACGAGATCAATTTTAATTCTCAGTGCTTCAAACTTTAGACTACTCTTTATCATCTCTGAGTTTACAGTGTTTTAAAAAGCATGAGTTTGGTTTTGTAGTGTTAATATTAGAAAACTTGTTTTAATTCTCACTTTTCCTTAACATAGTGAGTGGGATACACTGGTGTAAACCAAATGTAAGTCTATTGAAGCCAGTGGAATTTTTCCACTATAAGCAGGTTTCAATGCGAGGCGTATCATGTTGTTGTTTTTTCTGGGGAGAAAGCAGGGGGTGGTAACCCTGAGGTTTTTCTTTTAGTGCTGGTCTCTGTAGTATTCACTGCGGGTGCACGTGTACTTCTTCAGCAGCTGTGTACGTTGGTCCACACCTGTGCCCTCTTGCCTCCTGGTGCTTTGACCGACCGCCTCTTCAGGTCCTCTCTACCACTGGGACAGAACACTCCCACTCTGTAGCCTTCGAGCTTATTTATTTATTTATTATCATACTCCTCTTTTAGATAATTAGTAGATTTATATCTAGTTAGCAGAGAATGCTCCCACCTGCCTTTTATTGCTCCAGTATTCAGAATACTCCTGCCCAAGATCCCAGGCTTCAAGCCTGGCCTTGTCTGCCCTCAGGTCTTCCTGGTAAGCAGTCCACACTAGAGCTTCCTGTACTGTCTCAAAATGGATTTCCAACCGCATCCTCCTCTGCTATAAGACGACAGGAGCCCCTCCTTCCCAAACTGTCAGAGTTCCTTATGCCTTCGGTTCACAGCACAAGGAGGTGGAGGCATGGACCAATGGATACTGCTATTGAAAAATTTCCAGTCCCAGGCATGCAGAGCACACGCACACCCACAGTGAATACCCATAGGGCCCATGTATTTTGAAGAGTTCCAGTTACTATGAGGTAAGTAACCTTACTTTTCTTTTTCATCTCAAAAAATACATACATATTGTTGTTCAAAGAATTTCCTACTGATAGTTTATGAAGTGCACATAGGAATAGTCAGTAAGTATGAAGCGTATATTGAATCAATTAAAAACCAGCTAACTGATGGATCTCACAATGTAATGGAAAGGGGTTGGTTTCTAGTCATGGCCCCTAGGGATCTGTTCATGGCACAGTGCTATTCGATATCTTTTATCATTCATCTGGAAGAAAATATGAAATCATTGCTGGTAAAGTTTGCAAGATGCCATTAAAACTGGTGATGAATAGTGGTAAGGTATACAGGATAGTTACGCAAAGTTATCTGGATTTCTTGCTAAGCTGAATTCGTTTCAACATGTGTGTTAATACAATCAAATACAAGGTCATAGATCTAGAAACAAAGAATGTAGGTCACACTTACAGGATAGGGGATTGTAGGTTGGAAAGCAGTGACTCTGAAAAGGTCTTAGGCCCAGATTTTTAAAGGTATTTAGGCATTGCAGCGCTCGGCCTTCCAACACCTAGCTGATTTAAGAGCCTAAATCTCATTTTCCTAAGGGATTTAGGCACTTATGGATTTTGGCTCGTAAGTGTGTACATCCCTTTTTAAAATCCCACAATGCCTAAATACCTTTAAAAATCAGGGCCTTGGAGATCATGATTGATAACCAACTGCACATAAACTCCCAATGCAATGCTATGGGTAAAGGGGACAATGTGATTCTTGGATGTATAAGCAGGGGAATATTGAGTAGGAGAAGGGAGATGGTATTACCTCCATAAAGCATTGGTGGCACCATTACTGAAATCTGTGTCTAGTTCTGGTGTTTTCACTTCAGAAGGATGTTGTAAACTGGAGAGGGATCAGAAAAGAGCATGAATGATTTGAGGTCTGGTAAACAGACCTCAGTGAAAGATTTAGGAAGCTCAATCTATTTAGCTTATCAAAGAGAAGATTAAGAGGTGACTTGATCCCAGTCTATAAGTACCTGCAAAGGGAGAATATTTCTGATAGAGGGCTCTTTAATCTAGCAAACCAAGACACAAGACGGAAATTGAAGCTCGATAAATGCAGACTTGAAATAGAGTGCAAATTTTTAACAGTGGAGGTATATCTCCATCATTAAGTACTTAAATCAAGACTCTGTCTTCCTAAAAGATGCGCTGTAGTTCAACCACAAAATATTGACTTGATGTAGAGATTACTAGATGAAATTATATGGTCTGTATTATACAGGAGGTCATATTCATTTATCATAAGGGTCCCTTCTGGTCTTAATATTTATAAATCTGTGACTCATAGTTCGTACTTGCCATCTGGAGATCTGAAAAAGGTAAGTAAACCATTATCATCCCCAGTGTACAGATGGGAATTGTGAAAGAGAGAGAGAGCAAATGACTTGTGCAAGGTCACACAACAAAATCACTGGCAGAGCTAGAATTAGACCCCAGGTCTCTTGCCTTCTTGTCCTGCAGTTTATTCACTGGACAGCACCACCTCCCTATTCAGCATGCAAGTCACTGCGAACCTTTTGAGGTGGCTCTACTAACCCGGGATTTTGTTCTCTCCTTTAAGTCCATCGCAGCAAGAAAACATAAATCATTTCATGATATGCATCTGTATTAGCTAAGGAAGTGTGCACCTGTACTAGAGACATTTATGCATAACAAGGGGTCAAATTTTCCAAACTGGCTGTCTGAATCTTTTTCATCCTCAGAACAGAAGGAATTGCATTGTGCAGAGTGCACCCAGGTTCTGGGTGCAAACGAGACAGCCAGCTTTGGAAATTCAGCTCAGCATTCTGAACCTGACTACTTGTGAGGATGGAGTGGGGGCATGCAGGGGTCAGATAACCTGTAAATTGTGCCAAGTGTGATTTGAGAATCACTCCCCTGCTTACAGTTTGTAACATCTACATCTTGTGTTCTGTTTTGTTATTTCAGGAGCAGAAGGCACAGTGTTCCCTAAATCTATAGAAACTCCCAGTGTCAGGGCAGACCCCTTCAAGGAACTAAGGTAAACTTTGGAATATGGTTTAAATATAACTCAGTGGCGCCGTGTTGGAATTCTGCATACTGAGTGGCAGCATTTCTATCCCTGCACAAGCAGTTGAGAAATTGCCTTTGGAATGCACTGAGCCGAGGTTACAGGCGCTAACATCGCGGAGCAAACGCCATGGAATAGAAGAAAGGCAATAACACTTTAAAGCAAATCTCTATGACTGAGTCAAAAGAAAATATGGGTCACGAGAGCTTCCTTTCTCCTCTGCAACACCCTCCACTTAGCCAGTCTTTAAAAAGGAAAATAGAAATATTTCTTTGGCTATAGCCACTGAAGGTACTGGAGGCCACATTCAATCAGAGAGAGTGACTGCAGGCAAAAGGATGATGCACTCGTAGAATTTTCTCCCTTACAGAGATGTGAACCCCTTCTCTGACTGGAAACTGCGACTAGCTGTACGCGCAGGCCACTACCACTGACAGTCACAGAAATACCACCCAGAGAAAGCAACACTTAAGGGGAATAAATAGCACAGCTCTAGAGAATCAGCTTTGCCCTCATCGAATGCAGGACTTTATTTATTTCATCACGATAATTCCTAGCTCTTATGTAGCACTTTTCTTCACTACGTCTCAAAGCACCTCACAATCTTTAATGTATTTATCCTCACAACATCCCTGAAAAGCAAGGCAAGTATCCCCACTTCACAGATCAGGAACGAAGGCACCAAGAGGCCGAGTGACTTGCCCCCGGTCACACAAGCAGTCAGTGGCAGAGAAGGGACTTGAACCAAGGTCTCCTAAGTTCTAGGCTAGTGTCCTACCCACTGGACCAGCCTTCCTACATACTCTAACAATGGGCAAACTTCAAGGTTTGATGTGCAGGTTCAATCTGGATGAGCAGCCTCTGGAAGGGAGAGATTTGGGTGTGGGGACTGGTTCTTGGTGGAACAAACTAACTCTTCCAACAGTATCTGGTTATTTTTGGTGAACATGGGGATGCAGCTGGAAAGGGGTACTTGGCCAACACTAAGAATACAGAAGGCAACAAACACACCACTTCGCAGTCTGGCTTTCATTCTGTTTCAGTCACTGAGGTTTTAGGTGCACTAGGAGAGCTTTGCCCCACCGCTTGTCAGCTAGATCCCCGCCCTTTGTCATATCTGGAGAAAACCTCTAGGTCTGTTATTGACTAGGTGTTACTAATGCCTCCACCAAGAGGATACAAAGTCAGCCAACTGATAATGAACCCCTGCTCAGGAAGAAGGTCTCTAGAGATAACCTTGTCACTTAATCTTTGGTCTCTAACCTTCCTTTCTCAGGAAAGGTTACTGAGGAAGTGTTAGGACAGCTGCAGCCTGGTTTCATTTGGTGGCATCGCACCAACGTGGGATTGGTGTCTGTTGTTAACTCTCTCCATCCTGATGTTGGAAGTAGTAGTTAGGCCCAGCTAGATCACCATGGATGCTAAAGAACATCTTAGTTTCCTTCCCTTTAGTATCTTACTACCTTTTACTGTCTCTCAGGAATGTCTCTAGTTCTTCCGTTTAACACACCAGCAGCCCGCTTGTTAGATCAAAAAATACAACAGGGGTTTGGTTCAGTTCATTATGAACGTTCACCACGTTGCCACCTGCTCTGATGTAAAACCCGCTTCCTCCCTCTCAATATATTACTGTTTTTCTTAAAAGCTTTGGGTCAACCCAGAGTGTGGCAACTTCAGCAAGTGTAGGTGCAGGGTCTCCAGGGGCAGAAAGGGAGTGATGATGTGGGAGCACAAAGCAGATGCTGCCTCCCTTCTAGTGAGCTCTGCAGGCAGCCTGCATAGACAAGATGTGGGTGGCGTTAGCAGGAAAAGGAGCAGCTGGACGGAAGATGCACTGGTACAGCACATCCCTGCCGCAGCCTTCATAGGAAGGATCATGACCTTGGGTATATTTTTCAAAAGCACCTATGTCCCATTTCCAAAAGTGGCCTAAGTACTTAAGAGCCTAACTTGCATTAGGCTCTCTGTAACTGGGACTTGGGCTTCTAAATCACTTAGGGGCTTTTGAAAATCATATCCGGTTTCAGAAATGAAAGCTGTTCTACACGATCGTAACCCCCAAGGGAGGAGACACCATGGCACCACTTCTGTACAATGTTCCGGACAGGCTCAGGACAGCAGCATGTATGCGTCCCTAGCCAGCAAAGGTGATTCGGTCTCCACAGGTACATGAGTCTCTTGAAGCATAGGGCAGCTCAAGCTTCTTATGTGAAATGTTTTCTTCTGGGGGCAAAATATGGTTCCAAGAAAAAGTAACCTTAGCCTTGGGGCCAGGGGGGGCACTTTCTAGTGTCTTCCTATTGTTGGTAGCAATGCTGTACCTCCTCAAAATTACATAACCTGCCCCTTTAGAGTAATCCAAAGATTCTTGGCTACTGTGAAGTGGGACTGGATGAGCTGTTAATCTTGATTTGCTCTGCATATCTGGGAGATCAGCATGTTATAAACACCTAGCTGGCTAGATCACTGGATAAAGGGATGCTAATTGTTACTGCAAAATGACTGTGAAAACCCTGTCACATTATACAGTGATAAAAGAGCAGACTTTTTTTTCCCTTTAAGTTTCAAGAAAAACAACAACCCAGTTTTCAATTAGCTCGTCTGGTGTCCACAATTGGAGAGGGCTCAGAGAAGAGCCACGAAAATTATGAAAGGTTTAGAAAAACCTACTGTTGACAGATGTTTGGCTGCATGTGTGTGTTCTTTAAGCGTGCTGTCCCAGCTCTGCGCAGATAGCAGAGACAGCAGACTCCAATTGAACTGTCCAATAAATCCACTGACTCAGTTTTTAGCTAAGGCACCCAGCCAGGTTTATTGTCAACGAGGCATGGTCCTAGTATCCCGCAGACTCTACAGGACCGCTAACACATGTACCCATTACAATGGACCAGCTCAGTGAATGGCAGAACTTTCCATTCCCCCCCCCAAGGCCAGACAAAAACACTCCCTCTGAGATATCTTTTTATACACCAATACAAAGAAGTTATGTATTGCCCCTGGGGTATCTGGGTGCCATCCTTTGACATATCTGGGTGCCACCCTTTGCCTTGTCCCTGTTGGTTCGATCAAAATATCTCTATCCATCATGCTGTCATCCTGACCCTATCTTTAGGATGGGTCAGCACGTTCCTGTTCTCTTTCTGGGATGGGTTGGTATCGTGGTATGCTGGTACCACCCTTCTGGAATGTGTTTGCGTGTATTCTTGTGACTAACACTCCTTAGGAATGTGTGTTTCTGCAATATCAGCCCTGTTCTTGTAAGATTCTTTGAGCAGGGCCTGCCTCTTGCTCATAACCTGACTTTGCTTTATATCAGCAAAGCTTTGCCCACTACTTTAGTGCAGGTCTCAGGTCTCTGATACAAGGTCTTATGTCTCAGGCTCTCTTTCTTTTACCCATACCTTCTAGAGATAAGCTAAATAGACTGAGCTCCTTGAGCCTAACAAAGAGAAGATTGAGGGGTGACTTGATTACAGTGTGTAAGTACCTACAGGGGGAACAAATAGTTAATAACAGGCTCTTCAATCTAGCAGAGAAAGGCATAACACGATCCAATGGCAGGAAGATGAAACTAGACAAATTCAGGCTGGAAATATGGCGTAAACATTTAACGATGAGAGTAATTAGCCATTGGAACAACTTACCAAGGGTGTTGGTGGATTCTCCATCACTGACCATTTTCAAATCAAGATTGGATGTTTTTTCTAAAAGCTCGGCTCTGGGAATTATTTTGGGGCAGGTCTCTGGCCTGTGTTCTACAGGAGGTCAGACTAGATTATCACAATGGTTCCTTCTGGCCTTGGAATCCATGACTCTGTTGGCCTATCTTCTTGTATCCAGGTGCCATGTGCTTTGTTCACTCCTCACAGACCAAATGACTAAAACTCACTGTCTAGTACATCATTTTGCTATTTCTGATTTTATATCGATTTCACTACTTCTCCTGTAGGAGACTTCAAAATAAGGTGACAGCTACTGTCATTACCAAAAAGAGAGGACACCACCTGCTCTTGTCACCACTGGGGAGTCAGACCATCTGTATTTCTTCCTCCTCTGCTTCAAATACAAAGTGATTTCTCTCCTTAAAAATAGCCAACACCCCATCATGTCTGTCTCCCTCACTCCCTCTTTCCTTCGTTTTCCCTACCCATCCCCCAAGCTACCTTTATTAGTGTCTGTCTGTCTGTCTCTCTCAGAATGATATGTTCCAGATGATTACATAAGCATCATTTTCAGCAGATTTTCTGCCTTCTTCTTCCTGCTGAAAAGTCTTGGTTCATACAGGCTTTTTCACTTATTAGTCACTGGCTGCTTTACAAGTGCATGGTCACCTTTCCAGAGATCAGACAATATAACTGTTCTTTGTTGATCAACATTAGCTTCTGCTTGGTCATCTTCTTTTAGTCTCATCTTCCGATGTCTTTGGCCTGGGATGGCTTAGATGGAGAGAAATTGTTTCATAGCCTCCCTCTGAAACATCAGCCACATGGGTGTGGCATTTGTCATTTCATGTGAGGGAGATCCATAAGGTCACAAGAATTGGTGTCATAGATACATCTGAGAGACATTGCTATTTTTTATCTATTTGCACGGGTTGCCATGAATCTCTCCCGTGCTGTAAAAAGGCTTATGCTCCATGAGCCAACAAAAATCCGGATGGGTCCGTTATCAGTTTTGATTTTGTTGAGAATGCCAAAGATCATGAATGCTTTGTGTAATGCAGTGATGATTGTTGTTAATGCTACATATTCTGCTAAATGGTATCTTAAGGACTCATCAATAATGACTAACAGGTAGAGCTGGTTGAAAACGGTAGAAAACCTTTAAAATATTTTTATCTCAAACCTTAAAGTTTTGAAAGTTTTCAACCTTCTTTACCCTCAATTATGTTTGCAAAAAAAGTATATCAAAAGTTTAAATATTTAAATTTTTCTGACCAAGCATACTAAAAAGTATCAGCCAGTCCATCA